AGCATGCTCACCGTAAGCTTCGACAAGCATTCGATACGATTCTGCAGCAGTTTTCTTCAAATGGTAACAGAAAATCAATGCTGTCCGCAAATCGTAGTTTCCAGGCATAAAATTTGACATGTTCAACGCTATTACAAATTATACTGTTGTATGAAACTTGTATTGTTGTGAGTTGAAAATCTTTGTCAGATGTCAGAACAAGGAAATGGCGTCAATGACGCGGTCTGACGACTACATTGACAGCTATGGCCATCTATTGGTAAATTCCTGTTTCATATTTACATACCTGGTATTATCTTTACGAATATTATTTAGACATCATAATTGCCCATAATCTGTTTCAAATTAATTAATCTTTTAACGGAGAGAGAATTATCTTTTCTGCCAATAAATAAAAATATATCTTGGTAATTAAATTTTAATTAGGAAGAAATTAGATGTTCGGATATATATTATTGTATACTATGCAATTTTTAATTTAATTGAAAACATTAAAAGAATGTTCCTTTGATGTTTATTTTAAGAATTACGTTCATAAATTTCGCTAATTCGCTCAAATGCGAAATATAATTTTCCGTAATAACACATGTATTACTTTTGTCTATTGTTCTTAATTCATTTGCAAGTTTGATTTGAAATAAAACTTTCCGACTTTTTGCTAGGAATACAGTTACTATATATTTACAATAAGAACAATTTATTTTCTAGGGAAATGAGAAGAATGATTATATTGACTAGGGAAATGAGAAGAATGATTGTATTGACTTTTAATTTGATGTAATTTGTAAAGAAGATCGGTTATTTAAAAAAATTTATACGTATTTAAGGATTAAATGTATAAATATGAAATGACGAAGAAGTACTTCTAAAAAATATTATGTGTAATTAGAAGGATATATATTACGTAATACATAGTCTGAACAGTTTCGTGTTTTTCTGCGGAATTTAATTAGGGAATCGCTATTTACTATGATCGAAATTTCTGGCTTCTCGATATTTTCCGGCATAAATAAATTGGTTGTTGAAAGTGCAGTTTCTCGCGTTTTTTGCTTTTCCGCTGTACATTCAAATACCACAGGAAACTTTTAATGCTTTTTAAGAAATAATTATACTTACGAATCATACCCAGCAAACGTTAAATGTTCTTGAAATATTCATAAAATGTTTCTAAAATCCCCAAAAAAATATTCCAAGAATACTCCAAAATATTCCGAATATTTACAGTATATAAAAGTATAGTACAGTATATATAAACATTCAAATGTCGGTTAAAAATTTTATTTGTGTATCGTTCCCAGAATGTACGTATTTCCAGAATGTTCCGTATATACATATATATATATTCCGCAA